TGTACCAGCCCAATCTCACGGCATTTCGTGTTATAGTCACAAAATGTATTTCATCTATTGATTCGTGTTCACCAACACGATTTTCACATTTTTTCGTGTCGCACAGAACGATTTTAAAAGCAATGTATTTCTATTGGTATGTTTCGTGCCTGCACCACGTCTTTCTGTTCGGTCGGGTCTTGGAAGACCAGAAGCTGTGGGGTTCATAAAAACATGGTCTTACTCAATATCTTACCCTAAGCCTAACCCTTTTATTTTAAATTGTATAATGTCGGAGTCTTTTTGCCGTCCGCGAGGAAAATAAATCTTTTTTCCTTCTAATTTGTTATTATTTGGTGCAGGCACGAAACACGCTACCAATAGAAATACATTGCTTCTAAAATCGTTCTGTGTCAGAATACTGAAATCTGTATTTTTTTAAATCTCTTTTTCCTTCTAATTTGTTATTATTTACATTGCTTTTAAAATCGTTCTGTGTGACACGAAAGAAATGGCCAAATCGTGTTGGTGAACACGAATCAATAGATTAATTTCGTGACTATAACACGAAATGCCGTGAGACTGGGTTGAAAGTTCAAAGGTCACTTAGTCTACGAGGCAAATTTGAGTGTTGACTCGCGTAAACTTTAAGAAATTCAAATACCTTGCATCGATCCATTCAAGTGCTTTATTAGAAAGTTCAGTTGATCTCTGCCGACTTGCAACATTTGCCCGGCATTTAAATTAAATAAAACAAACAATCCAACAGGCGTACGGATCGGCTCACCAAAACATAACTAATAAATGGCTCTTACAGTAAATCTTTATTCTGTACTACAAACAGTTTTTAGACAATAGTGTTCTTCAAATGTTGTGGTTTTCACATTTTTGAGTTTTACAGCAGAATATTAAAATACATCTTGTCATAACCTATATTGATGACATTGATTCTATCTATCTATATCTAAATATCTGCACTTTTAATCATATTATCACCGCAATTCATAGCTGTCAGACATCTATTTCTGACAGCTAACACATGCTAACTAATATGACCGTTCAACGTGCCTAAAACTCCTTTGCTTCTGCATCACGTCCACAGAACTACATGTCTAAGCTTCCTCACAATATAACAATACACATAGGTGTAATGCTAAGGTTTCATAATGATAATTGTCCATCCATCCATCTTCTCTCGCTTATCCGTGGTCGGGTCTCGGGGGTAGCAGTTCCAGCAGAGAGCCCCAAACTTTCTTTCCCCACATCAAGCCGCTCTGACTGGGGGGTCCCAAGGCGCTCCCAGGCCAGCGAAGAGATATAATCCCTCCACCTGGTCCTAGGTCTACCCCTTGGTCTCTTCCCAGCTGGACGTGCCTGGAGCACCTCCCTAGGGAGGCGCCCAGGTGGCATCCTAACTAGGTGCCCGAACCACCTCAACTGGCTCCTTTCGACGCGAAGGAGGAGCGGCTCAACTCCGAGTCCCTCCCTGATGACCGAACTTCTCACCTTATCCCTAAGGGAGACACCAGCCACCCTGCGGAGAAAACCCATCTCGGCCGCTTGTATCCGCGATCTCGTTCTTTCGGTCATGACCCATCCTTCATGATCATAGGTGAGGGTAGGAACGAAAATGGCCCGGTAGACAGAGAGCTTTGCCTTCTGGCTCAGCTCCCTTTTCGTCACAACGGTGCGGTAAAGCGACTGCAGTACCGCTCCCGTTGCTCCGATTCTCCGGCCTATCTCACGCTCCATTGTTCCCTCACTCGAGAACAAGACCCCGAGATACTTGAACTCCTTCACTTGGGGTAAGGACTCATTCCCACTACCTAATGATCATTGTATTAAATATAATATAATCACCCCATGATGGCGGGTACACTCCCATCAGGCTTTGTGTCATCCAGCGTCAGACCAATGGGAGCGCCTTCCTCCTCGATCACCATGCTGCCACAGTAACCTGGTGTCGAACAAGGAGAGTACATATAAAATACTGCATCCTTCCCTCTCTCCTGAAACAATATTACAGACTGTTTGTGTCGCTTAAGTAATTTTTTTTAGCTTCAATGGAAAGTTTGAAGATTCAAGGCTTCATCACCATGAGCTCAGCAGCTACAGTGTAGATAAGGCAATGACAAACTGAAGTCACAGGCTCCTCCAACAGAGCAACATGAATATATATAGGACATAAAACAGATAAAATAGTGCAAGAGAATGTTTTGAGAAGTGCAAGTAAATACAAATAGAATAGAAATAGTGCACAAAGACTCTATATACAAGTACATGAAATGATATATTAGATAATTAATTAGCAAAATGCAACAGATGAACAGTCATTTGCTCTAAAACTGAAGAGCACCAAATGTTAAAAGACAAACACAACTCCCCCTGAATATCGCTTAAAATGTACCTCTTAATCTCCGTAAGAATGAAGGAGTCCTTAGCACACAGTATTGCCTTTGAGAAGCTACAGCACGCTCAGTTTTAAATAACCAAATATAAGATAAGATGGAACTTTATTTATGGAGAAATTCAGGTGTTCTGACGTGGAGCTAATCTGAAGTAAACGTTGAATACTGCTTTCTACTCCTCCATCTTGTGACTGTGTGACTCCCTCTCTTGGATATCAGCATGTGAAGGACACTGTTCAGGAACTAGTTGATGCTCTGTATGTGATGACTACTTCCATTCTGGAGAGGATCACAGACACATGGATCCTGAGATTGAAGCTCAAGCCGGGACCAGTGAGATTTTTCTAACACTCACGTACCCTTTTTCCTCCAGAAGTTCTCCCTGTAGTACACCATGCACTTGATGACAGAGCCCATGGGCACGCGGCTGATCAGCTGGTTCCTGAGGGGGGGCAGCTCGGGGCTGAAGTGCATCTTCATGTTCAGGCCAGGGGGCGTGGCCAAAATCACATACTTGGCCTGAGAGAGAAATCATACATTTTAAAAGAAATATAGGGGATGCTAACACACATGGTTGGAGGCTGCCAGCAGAGGGCAGCACAAAACAAGCTGTGAAGAATGTGGTTGAGTTTTATTGTCAAATCTCTTCCTACAAATACATTTATTTATCTATGGGTCAGAATTCCTCTAGGCATAAACTTTGTACCGATCACATACTTGGCCTGAGAGAAAAATCACACATTATAGAAAAAGAGAAACACAAATAGGATAAAACAGAGAGCTGCATCTCATGGCTGCAGGCAGCCAGCAGGGGGCAGCACCGATTATTTGTACCTTCTACTCATCTACTCATCCTGTTATTCCTAGGTTTTTAAATGGAATTACCATTACTTTCTGTACTCAGGTCTCACTGTTATTTAGGAAATTATTGACAAATAAATTACACCTTATAATAGTATTAATAGGACAAAATAAAAACAACAGACACTCAAGTCCCATTTTAAAATTAGATTCTTGTTTCCAGTATAACTTTCCCAGTCTAATAGAGAAATAATCCAAAAATGTGTCAAAAAGGACGATATTTAATTCTGAGATACAGTGGAGTAGAAGTAGAAAATAGTACAAAATGTGTGTGTGTGTGTGTGTGTGTGTGTGTGTGTGTGTGTGTGTGTGTGTGTATGTGTGTGTGTGTGTGTGTGTGTGTGTGTGTGTGTGTGTGTGTGTGTGTGTGTGTGTGTGTGTGTGTGTGTGTGTGAGGTGCTCACCGTGTACGTCTGTTTGTCCAGCGTCTGAACCTCCACCATGTCTCCGCTCTGGTCGATGCGGTAGACCGGAGACTCGAGTTTCACCAGGTCTCCCAGCCCGTCTGCCATGAACTCGCTGATCTGACTCGAGCCGCCCACAAACTTCCTCTCCTGGGGGTCAAGAGGTCAAGAGGTCATAAATACATGGGGGGCAGCCATTAAGCATTGCAAAGAGCCTTTTATGCGTGCAAGAAAGTGTCATTTTTTGTCATTTTTTTATTTTTCTTTATACCAATTGTTGGGAAAATACTGAATGTCCTCTTCCAACATGAGAGTAACGTGATAACAAAGGTATCCCAACTGTAGCTGTGTACATGACATGAAGAGCATCAGGACTGTTTTAATATACTTTTCCAGTTTAAGTGGAAAGCGGAACTGAAAATCGATCTATCTATCTTAACATAAGAATAGCTCCGTGTTGTTAATCATACTTCTATCGTAATGTTATAAGCCCTAAAACACTCTCTAACGAGCAGTCGCTGAACAAAAACACCATGTTCATCATACATTTAAGAAAAGAAAACCTTGACACATATTGCTGAGCTGCATATCAAATGAATCCTCATGTCCCCAGCTTTCAGACCATCGACATCACTTCCACTGCTATCCCCCTTTAAATATCCTTTGCTCCCAGTAAAGAAAGACAGTTATGGCGCATTTCCACTACAGCACGGAGCTCGCTTTAACCGTGCCGTCCCCCGTTCCACTTGGCGTAGTTCCGGCTAGCGGGTACTATTTCACAGTTTTTCTGGCCCCATAAAATCGAGGTTCTTAGCGGGCCAACAACCAGGCTGAGTCGGGCTGAGTATGCTAAACTAGAGAGAGAATCGCTGGCAAGGGGGCTACAACTACAACAAGATGAACATATTTGACCGTGATTTAATTGTAATACACGTTTCAAAATTATGACGAAGTAACAACATACTGATACCGGTTAGTAAAAACCATGAATCAATGCTTTGACAAGTCTGCGGACAGACGGCAGGCGAAAAACCTTTTAAAATGTGTGTTTTCTGAATGGAGATCGGCTAAGCTAACGTTGTATATGCTCCGACCGTCCACACTCACAACAACGGCCTACAGACATAAATAAAGCAGCGACTGTATTCGCCATGACACAGATAGTCTGTGGTTTGTACTTGTTTAACTTGTGTCTAGTTTCTGAACAGATATGAGGAGCTGTGAGCTCTGAGTGCTAAGAGCTAACGGCTGATGTTGGTTTTGTGGTTCTCATTGAAGATGACGTCCCGGCTCCGCCTACACTGCGTTACTATAGTTACTGCCCCAGTTCGTAAACTGTAATGGAAACGCAGCATAAAGTGAGCCAGTCTTTACAAGGCCTAACGAGGCCTAGCCATACCGAGCGAGGCCGAGCGAGGCCCTGTAAATAATTGGGAGGGGGAGAGGAAAAGGTTAAATGGGAATGACCACAGATCTGCCTTCATCATCCTCTGTTTCCCAGTCCTCATCCTCAGTGTCTAGGCAACACAGGCACTCAGCTTTAGAAAGTACCACAGCAGAATGTCCCCCCCCCCCTTCACACAAAAAGCTCTGCAAGAACAGCTTTTGTCCGGCTCATAATGATGCCAGCAAACTGAGGTGAACTGAGGGAAGGTTTCAGGATTCAGCAGAGGGGTGCATCTCAAAAACCACACACACACACACACACACACACACACACACACACACACACACACACACACACACACACACACACACACACACACACACACACACACACACACACACACACACACACACACACACACACACACACACACACACACACACACACACACACACACACACACACACACACACCTGTCCTCCGTTGGTGGTGGAGAAGATCCTCATGGTTCCTCCGCACTGCTTCACGTACCAGAGGAACCACAGAGCTGAGACCTCGTGGGGTTCAGAGGTCACGTTCACGTTCACAAACAGCTTGGCGAAGTGGAGGACTTTACTGAAAATAAAGCAGAACATTCAGAATTGAATTTAAGCATATATGTTTGTAGAAATGTTTTGTAGAAATATGAAATACTTTTGTGTCTAATTCTCTGCGTGCAAAAGGCAGAAATATATAGGCTCAGAACAGTCTCATAATAAACACATACAATAATAATATATAAATAAAGACATCTTGTATTTTAGTTACACCCGCTATTGGTTAATTTTGTCAACATTGGACCTTGACACCGTCCACATAGCTATAGTGAAATCATATAATGGAAAACATTAAGCCTCTTTGATTTAATAATCGGAGCTGAAACCTCCCTGCCATCTCATATAACACACACTTCCTTATTTATCTTTGAATAATAATAACGTAAAAATAAGGCAAGGCAAGTTTATTTATATAGCACCTTTCAACACAAGGCAATTCAAAGTGCTTTACAAAAAACGAAAGACATTAAGAAAATGGCATCTAAAATCAGTCATTAAAAAGAAAAGATAATAAAATAAACATTAAAAGAAAAAGTACATGGATAAAAGTTACAGTGCAGTCTAAGATGAATAGTTCAATTAAAAGCAGCGACAAAAAGAAAAGTCTTCCTGCTGGATTTAAAAGTAGTCAGAGTTGCAGCGGACCTGCAGGTTTCTGGGAGTTTGTTCCAGATATTTGGAGCATAACAACTGAACGCTGCTTCTCCATGTTTAGTTCTGACTCTGGGGACAGAAAGCTGACCAGTCCCTGAAGACCTGAGAGATCTGGATGGTTCATCATTTAGCAGGAGGTCAGAAATGTATTTTGGGCCTAAACCATTCAGTGCTTTATAAACCAGCAGCAGTATTTAGAAATCTATTCTTTGACACACAGGAAGCCAGTGTAAAGACTTCAGAACAGGAGTGATCCACTTTCTTAGTGTTAGTGAGGACTCGAGCAGCGGCGTTCTGAATCAGCTGCAGCTTCCTAATAGATGTTTTAGTGAGACCTGTGAAGACACCATTGCAGTAGTCCGAGTCTACTGAAGATAAAAGCATGGACAAGTTTTTCCAGATCCTGCTGTGACATTAGTCTTTTAATCCTAGATATATTCTTTAGGTGATAGTAGGCTGATTTAGTAACTGTTTTAATGTGACTGTTGAAACTCAGGTCAGAGTCCATGACTGCACCTAGATAAGAAAATAAAGACGACTATACTACGGTCCTTCTGTCCTGACATTAGCGCCTGCAGGCAGGCTCCATGGACCGGTCAGCTCCGGACAGCGCAAAATGCGTACATGAAGCGCTATGTCATGAACGCAAGAAATCATACCCTCGTGGGGGCGCGCTCATGTGATTGGCTTAGAATGGAGGAGATATCTGATTGGGTATACATAGAAAAAATTACTAGTACGAATCGGGTGAGCGTCAGGGGGGAGTCTCAAAAAACCCACACACGAATGCACAGCGATCCGTGCACAGAAAGCGGGTTCTGTTTGCAAACAAATAACTTTTTTCTGTATTTGGATTTTATTTACATGAATATGAAACGGAACACAAGTGTGGATCCGGGAATACAAGTGTGACTCCTTCTGTGTGCATGTGTGTATTATGAGACTGTTCTGAGCCCATAGAAATATGTCTTCGGTTTGCATTCACTAAATCTGCTATAATATATTTACTGACGCTTTTAATCCGAAGTGATTTACAATAAGTGCATTTGACCATGACATTATAAAACTAAATCCTGTGCATCAGTCTCAAATAATCAACACCTTGTGTAAGAGTCCCTATCATGCAGTTTTGGGGGTTTTCTCTTTCCTGTATTGTGTTAGAACTCTTTTTTAATGCACTTTATGAACAAAGAAGACGATTCGTGATGCATTTATATATCTGTGTTTGAAAAGTAAAGTTCAGATTTCCCAGTTATTACATAGACTCCAAATACCCTTAAAATCTAACAATTTAACTGCAGTTAAGGGAAAAAATGGCTTAATTGAGAGATATTAAAAATATAATGTAATCCTCTGTTCTCTCCTCTCTTACCTGGTCCAGCAGATCTTCTCAAACAGCTGCAGCATGGTCATCTTGTCCCACTCCTCGGCATGGGGGGCCCTCCAGGGGGCCTCTCTGGGGATCTGAGGCACAGCAGGACATTTAGCAGAGATTAAAGGGCTTCATTTTAGGATAAAAGCAAAAAAAAGGGTTGAATAGTTCTGGTTTTACCTCCTTTCCCATCTCGTCCATCGTCCTCCACAGGTTGTTGAAGTCCAGCAGGACGAAGGGGTTCCACATGGGAGGAAAAGAGCCTTTGAACGGGTGAGACTTTCCCTGTTGGACACAAGTTATCATCATAATATGAAATACAATCTTAGTCTTAGTTATATTACAGCAACAACAAAAAAGTTACCTTAAGCAACTTTATTTGAAAAGAGGCTGGTCAAAAAGGAGTTCACTTGGGGATGCAACGCTAAATGCTATGAGCTAAATGCTATGAGCTAAATGCTATGAGCTAAATGCTAAATGCTATATCATATATTTCCTTTTACTGCACAACATGCTTTGTAGTTCCAGCTTTGTTAACTACACAAAAAATGCATACAAAAAGTAATTGAACTACTTAATCACTATGCAAATATCCACGTGGTTGAACGACCAGCAGAATATTGTAAAATGTAGTTGAAGAACAAGTTTTATTGCATATACAACAATGCTTTAAAATTCACGTTATCTCACATCTTACACTCTCAAAGCCAGCAGTGGGGCGGGAGCGGGTTTCGAACTGGAGTTCCCCAACGCCCCCTTGATCTGATGATCAAACGCACAGACCACTGCGCCACCCGTCCCGAGTAAAGTAGAATGCACTGTAAAAGCTCCATTATTGCTGTGTGTGTGTGTGTGTGTGTGTGTGTGTGTGTGTGTGTGTGTGTCTACACTGCAGGACTATTTCTCAACCACACGATTGATTTATAAATGCAGCTGGAAAAGAGAGGTTTCGACAGGGGTCAAAGAAGGACAGTGAACCGACAGAATATATACAGGATATTCGTTAGGAAGACGATTCCTAGAAAGCAACGAATCTGTGTGAGGAGGAACGATATTTGTCAGTGTGTGTGTGTGTGTGTGTGTGTGTGTGTGTGTGTGTGTGTGTGTGTGTGTGTGTGTGTGTGTGTGTGTGTGTGTGGCCTAGCATTACTATACTTGTGGGGACCGAAATCTGTCTACACAGTCACGTGTGGGGACTGGCTTCCCTTATGGGGACAAAATGGAGGTCCCCATGAGGGGAATCATTAATTTTAGGGTGAAGACTTGGTAAGGGTTAGGGTTAGGCATGTGTTGGTTATGGTTAAGGTTAGGATAAGTCTCCAGGAAATGCATGTAAGCCAATGTAATGTCGCCTGAAGTGATGTATACATGGTATGTGTGTGTGTGTGTGTGTGTGTGTGTGTGTGTGTGTGTGTGTGTGTGTGTGTGTGTGTGTGTGTGTGTTTGGGGGCATGGGGGTAGTGAGAGAAAACTGGTCTTTTAAATCCCTTTTTTCAAAACCCACTTTTCAGGAAATTGTGTGGATTTAAAAAAAAGGTTCTGATTGTAATTATTGTTATCATTATTATTATAATTTGTCAACTCCGGTACATTGTTATATATATATATATATATGTATATCTTTTTAACAAGGGGAAAATCTTTAGTGTATTTTTCTTGAGGTCGATCATCAAGGTTTCTTCGTACGTCAGCTTTAGAGGAATAACTTCATTTTAACATGAAGTCAATAAAGTGAAAGTCATAAAGATTGATTTTCTCACTGTTGCCGTGTAACAACAGGTCTGGATATGTAGGACAAGAGAACACAGAAGAAGAAGAAGAAGAAGAAGAAGAAGAAGAAGAAGAAGAAGAAGAGAAGAAGAAGAAGAAGAAGAAGAAGAAGAAGAAGAAGAAGAAGAAGAAGAAGAAGAAGAAGAAGAAGAAGAAGAAGAAGAAGAAGAAGAAGAAGAAGAAGAAGAAGAAGAAGAAGAAGAAGAAGAAGAAGAAGAAGAAGAAGAAGAACGTGGATGGATTGACTTGAGTAATGCTTAATAATAAACCATATCTTTACTTTTATTCCATATAAAAATGTACGCAAAAACATGTGAGTAAAACACTTTCTGTTGGCCTCAATGTAATTTAAACTTTAATCAATATTTCTATACATGTCCTCTTATATCGTGACGTCAAAATAATCACAATTAATATCTTTTACAAATCGTTTACGAGATGCTTTATATTGTGAAGTTGAAACAACAAAATGAAGTGTACTAAAGTCCATCTGCTTCAAACAGATTAAATGAGGTTCCTGATAAATGTAATCTTTGTTTTATTCAGCTGACATGCAAACAGATAAGACTTACACAACATGCTCTCTTTATCATGAGGTATCATTAACAGCGGTGCCATTTCTCAGGTGCTTCTAAAGCGTGCAAACATGCAGACGGCTGCCCGCTGTTTGTTCATCTCTGATAACCAGCCACAGGGTTTAATAAAAGTCTGTGATAGGGACAGCTCATTAATAAATCCACACTGAGTCTGATGATAAAGGAAAAAGCCGATCAGCTACACAGAAGCTAACGCTAATTACACAATGTCCTGGACACCACCCTCTCTTTCCAGGCGCACACCAGATCCGCCTTCTACTATCTCAAAAACATTGCCAGACTCCGGCCTTCACTCTCTGACTCTGTGGCAGAAACACTCGCACTCGCCTTCATCACATCCCGGCTGGACTACTGCAATGGAGTCCTGGCCGGGGTTCCCAGCAAAACCCTGGCCAGGCTCCAATACGTCCAGAACTCTGCCGACAGGCTTCTCACCCGCACCAAGCCATGGCAACACATCACCCCCATCCTCATCCACCTACACTGGCTGCCGGTCAAGTCCCGGAGTCAGTACAAAACACTCCTCATCCTCACGTACAAGTCCCCTTCATACCCTCACCCCCCAGTACTTATCGGACCTCCTCCATCCCTACACCCCCTCTCGGAGTCTGCGGTCCTCAGACACGGGCCTGCTCTCCATCCCCCGCTCTCGCCTCTGAGCTGTGGCTGACAGGGCATTCAGTGCTGCGGCCCCCACCCTCTGGAATACACTTCCTGCCGAGATCTGTAATGCTGCCTCCCTGGACATCTTCGAATCATCATTAAAAACACACCTGTTCCCCCTGGCCTTTGACCCCTAACCCTTTCTTGGTCCCCCGGCTTCCTTTATGTTTTGTTTGCCCGTTGATTGTCTGTTTGTTTTCTTTGTCCACCATGTACAGCGACCTTGGGTCCCTTGAAAGGAGCTATATAAATATCATTTATTATTATTATTAATGTCTCGGCAGTTTAATGCACAAGGGACTGACATTGAGAGGGTCACTACTTACTCTTACTACTCTGGGATTTCTTATTGAACAGAACTTGTCTTTCAAGTTACACACGGAAAATGTTGTTTCAAAGCTAAAAATAAAATGAGGTTTCTTTTACAGGAATAAATCCTGTTTCTCTTTTCAGACAAGGAAACATTTGATATCTGCAACGTTTTTACCTGTATTAGATTATGGTGACCTGCTAGACATGAATGCCTCTGACCAGTGCCTAAAGAGCTTGGATACTGTGTACCATTGTGCCTCACGATGTATCACTGGATGTGGATATCGAGTACACCATTGCACTTTATATGCTGCTGCTAATTGGCCATCTTTGTCTGCTCGCAGACTTTCCCATTGGTTGGGTTTTATTTATAAATCTCTGCTTGGGTTGGTTCCCTCCTACATTTGCACATATATGTGTCAAAGAGAAAGTCCATATGGCCTGCGCTCCCAAGATGTGATTCAGATGCTGGTCCCTACAGTGAGAACACAACTGGGTAAAACAGCTGTTAAACATGCTGCCCCCACAGCTTGGAACAGAAGGAGCTGAAACTCTCAGATGTAATCACTATGGGGGAATTCAGGTCCATCTTAAAGGACAGAGAACACGACACCATTGGTAGATGTGAGTGCTCGTATATCCTGAAATCGTTTTAAATGTTGCCAGTTTTGAATGATTTTAATAGTTTGTTTTACTTCGCATATTGACTGGCTAATGCGCTTTTATTTGTGTTTTACAGCTGTGTTTGTCTGCCTGTCTTGTCTGTGTTTTATCTGTTGTAACTTCGTACATGCTGCCCTTCTTGGCCAGGTCGCTCTTGCAAAAGAGATTTTAATCTCAATGAGTCTTTTACCTGGTTACATAAAGGATATATAAAAATGCTAGCTGCTGTCTTGTGATGAAATGCAGACATACTGGAGATCAATGGAAGTGTAATCACATGTTTTCTACCTCTGTGTATTACCTTCAGGCGTGTGCATTATAAGAAACATTTACACACTGTGTCTGTTTCGTGCTTTTTGATCAGAATAGCTTCTTGCCTAATCCAAAGCTTACAATCTGAAGACAGCGTGATGATACTTACATGATTGATTACAAAACACGTGTCGTACAGGTAACTGTTGGCTTTACTAATATGAAAGTAATGCTGACAAGAGGAAACATGCAGGAATCAAGAGTCATGATAGGAGCTGATGATAACCACTTGAATAAGTATTATAATATATATATATAGCGCTGTTACTTTTGGCTTTTACATGTATTATTTTGACGTTTGTTAAAACCATTTGTCGACTGTTCAGAGATAAGGTTATGTTGCATGTGTTAAAGTATGTATTTATGACATAGATGCCAGTCTTGTTCCCTGTTATCTTGATTATATCTAATGAAGACTCAGTAAAGTCAGTACACTCAAGGCCACTCACTTTCTTTTTTTTATTTTGCACTCTTTCAAGTAGGGTCGATCGGAATATATCATATATTTTACGGCAATCTTGAATATCCCGAGTTTCATTAAAAATGTGTCTATAATCCAATAATAATAATACAGTAATTATAATGTAGGAAAGAGGACAATTAAACTACGTTGCTCTTTCTTTTGAATTACTCATTAATTATACGGAGGGACATCATGATTTATGTTTGCTTGTTTTCACAAAATGTGTATCTTAGCTTATTGTAGGGCAAAGTTATTCCATAAGGGCTATGTTAAGATGTGTAAGCATAGACTGTATATTTAAGCAATAGCTCACGACAGGCCGTGGTATATGCTCATTATATCACAGCTAAGGGGCGTGGTTCGGCCCGACGCGAAAACGGTTACCAAGTGTGGCAATATGAAAGAAAAATACACACTCTAATTTAAATAGTTTTTATTAGTAAATAATGATGTTCAAAATAAAATAGTCCCTCCGTTGCCTTCTGCACGAAACATAGTGCGAGGTG